GCGATTTCCTGAGAACGACGCAGCGTCCGTATCTCGCCCCATTTATCGTATTGTTGCCATCCGCGGGGCGAGCCGGGCCCAACCACGCGCCGCCCTCCTAGACAATGGGGGAGTATTTCAGGTGGCGGCAGCGGGGCAAGGGGGCCCACCCGGGGAGGGGAGCAAGTGGGGCGCGACGCTTGCGGCGCGGGGGTCCAGGAGGGCCCAGCAGGCTAGGGGACAATATGTACGGATTTAAACCTAGTGCCAAGCCTAATGCTACAGCCTAATGCCTTCAAGGTCACGAGCTAGAAGGAGAGGGGTACCTTGTCTTCCAATGCCAAAAATGTAAGTCGTATCGAAGCTCTCGATTGGATGACAGTGTACACCTCTCCGGTAGCGCTCCGCCACATCACATCAAGCAGCTTGGCCCACGCGCTGCCGTCATGTAGGGGGACCAAGAAAGGCGAAACAGTCACGTTTCGCGCAAGGGTGCGGTTAGGAATAAAGAACTATTGGTGTCATAACAGCACATATTTTCTTAAACTGGGTAGTTCCGTTTTCTTTCGAGCCGGGACTTCCTTTTCCATTTTGAAGTACCCCTGCCGGCTGCCATTTACCTGCGACAAGGTCCTACCAAGGCTTTTGACGGTAACTACCGCTCCCGTGGGAAAAGGTCCTTTGCGAAAACCCCTCTGGTCCTCACTGAATATCTCGCTGAGCCAATAGTTCCATCTCGTCCCATACTATTGCACGAATGTACAAGGTTTCCCTTGTGGTGTAGGGAGCCAGACCAAATACGCATACATACGTCACACACAGTTACTAGGTCCGTAAAAGGAATTATGATAGTACCCATTGTAATGGTTACATAACATTATAACAAGTACAACATTCCATATACTGAGACATTTCATTTCACGCCCTATAACTGGCGCCATCTGGTGGGATATTTCGTTTTGGCAAGCGCTAAACACATTGAAAGATGTAACGCGATAATGATAGGGAGTTTCTTTAGTTTTCAACCTCAATCATTACTTAATTTTCTAAAATTAAACAATGTTACAAAACGTACTGTAGACTATAATATTTACAGGCCGTCTCAATTTACAGCAATTGACAAAAAAGCAACGTTCAATTTATTATGTAAGGTCCTGTAGCATTCTAACGTAGTGCTGAAAAGTCAAAGAGTTGATATGAATGGAAATAACATTAATATAATAAATATTTATTGAACTTTTATTTTTGTTACTTAAGTTCGCTAACACCTAAGTCATTAGCGACCACTATTGCAAATTAACGGTATAGTAACTTTGAAGACATGATATGGTAATGATGATAAGGAGGTGAAAGGACGAACACAAACACAACCATGCCCGAGGCTAGAATAGAACCCCCGATCTTTCGGTCCGAGATCGCTACGGCACTACTGCTTTAACGATCTCAGCCATCCGGTTTTGTTTATCTTTAAAATTTCAAAATAAACATCTTTGTAATTAATTAACACATCGTTAGTTGTAGAAATAAAATTGAGAAGCAGTTGTTTTTTTCTTTTATAAGACGATTATTTTACTTACGTTCTGGCCAAAGTCTTAGTGTATTACACCGAAATACATTTGATCGACCAAAGCCGAAAGTTCAATTGTACGGACGATAGTCGCTGAAAGTCAACTTAACCAGTAAGTACTAATCAAATTTAAAATCGACACCCTTCATATTTCTTACTCCGCAGTATTTTCATTCTCTGTATCACAGCCGACACGCTCCCATCTGAGTCGGAGTGGGCGAAGAGGAGCCGTGGCAACGGAGTACGCGACGAGCGGAAACCACTGCGCGAGGGGGAGTGGCGCCCTGGGGCGGCGACACGCGTGTGGTGGTGGCGGTGCAGTGGTGGCTTTTTGGCATTCTGAACCACCGGCGCGGCGGCGGAGTGCCAGACGCCGCAAGGCGCCACTGCGTCACACACTCGCTCAGCTTCTGACCCACTCTGCTCCGCCCCTGCCCCGCTCTACCCCGTCCCGCTCTGCCCTGCCCCGCTCTACCCTGTCCCTCTCCGCCCTACCCCGCTCCACCACTCCTTCGCTCCCCCGCTGCCGCACCCTGTCCCGCTCCGCATTTCCCTCTCCCTGGCCCACTTCCACGCTCTCCGCCCCCGCTTTCCAGGCTCCGTCCCTGCCCCCCGCCCTCTGCTGCTCTCCTCGATTTCCCCCAACGTTTCCGACTCCAGCCTCTCCTCCGAAGGCACTTCCAGTGCCCTCCGTGCCTCCCGCGCCCCCCTCCGTTTTCTGAGCGCAATTGTCCGCCCGCCTCCCCGTCCCAATCGCGCCCGTCGAGAGAAATTAGGAAGCGGAGCCGGGAAACGGAATTGAGACGGGGGCCGCAGAAGCGAAGGCGAGCGAATCAAAGGGCTGGATATGGTATGCGTCGCGGCGCCCAATTGAACATCGCTCTAGTCAAAAAGGCGCTCCAGCCGTTTTATGTCGGAAATTCTTTTCTTGACGCGTTTCTATTCATAAGCCCCCCAGAGGAGGCCCGACCGCGCGCCACGTTTGCTTTCGTGCTGACTACGGGGACTTTCAGATTTTCTCGCTTCCTTCCTGTTTTCTCTTTACCGGACACTTCGCGCGCGCCGGCGAGAGCGGGAGGTCGCCGCATAAATATGCCCCAAATGTGCTGCCGTAGGGCAGGTGCCACCCCGCCCCTTCGCGACTCTTCCCCCGCGCCCGCCCCGCCCCCGCCCCCTCCCCCACCCAAATTACGTGCCGCGCAGGCTCAGGGTAACAATTGCAGCCGCTGCAATGTCTCTGACTGAGAAGACTGACCGGCTCGAGGTTGAACGAGGGTGACGGATTTTCGGCACCAGCTACATAAAGCATCACACAGCTAGGTCGAATGCAGCTGCTGTCTGGAGAAGAATTCAAGCTAAAGCAGACATCGTCAGTTCCTTGTACAGAACAAGCGTGTTAAAGAGACAATGGTTTTATATGCCCAATCCTATAATACAATGCTCATATCCTCCAGTAATAGGAATTTATTTCACTCCATTAAATTTCTCCCAAGAGTTAATTGAGAGCTTCCTATACCTTGACACTCTCTCTCACATTACACTACAACACGCCTCAGAAAACCAGTCAAGAGCTCAGATCTCGTCCCAGCCGGGGCGGGCGCCCCGCTAGTGCTGATTCTTGAAGAGGGAAATCACGGCCTTGTGGACACCTGCGCCTTTACTGCTTGACGTCACAAAAATGAGGTCACTGGTTCAAAATCTGGCCATAATTACAAATGCGAGTGGATATGCGTAGAAATATGTATCGAGGGGTTTTTTGATGTTGCTGAATTCGAATATCACGAAAAATTTCAAATTTCTAAATGGCGGATCGACTTATATAAAATGCTTAAAAATACACGTACGTATGGTTCTTGAGATCATTAATACTGAATATCATTATCAAGCAGCAAAGGCGCAGGTCAAAATTAAAAATGGTGGCTTTGAATGGTAAACAAATTACAAATGAAGCGGATAAGCGTTGAAGTATGGATATACGTTAAGTATTTTTCCAGGTCTGTAAGTACATAAATTGTTGTTTTAAACTGCTGTGTTAAAAAGGAAAATCAGATTTAAAGATAAATAAATTTATGAGATGGAAATATGATTGAAGAGAGTTTTTGAGTTTATTGATTAAATTAAATTCACTTTAGTATTAAGAAGAAACAAACACATTGAGAAGAAGAATCTACTCCTACTGTCTTGGGCTGCGGAATCTCTACCCCTTTTTTGCTCCAGGCACTAATTTTTCAATCGAATTATCAATAAAACGGAGCAACGACTGTTTTAGTAACACGTTATAACAACAAATATTCGATCGGGTATAATTTATTTTTCTAGTTTCCAATGTTCACAGAAAAGAGAAGAAAACTAAGCAGTCATTTGAGAGGGGTCTGTGGTTTCCGTAGGTACTCAACAAGTCAAAACAGTTTTGATTTCGACTGAATAATGTAATTGTTTGATATTGTTATTCCCCTTATTCTCATGCGTACTAACTCTCATACGACGCACGGACTGTCTTCTCATATTCAGTGCGTCACTACTTATGTCAGCAGTTGTCATGTGACAGCAAGGCCGCTTTATTTACATCTGTATGTTTTGTCATTATGGTACATCAAAATTTTTTATATTCTTGGAAATAAATGTTGACTTGTATAAACATGTATTGAAAGTAATAGCAGTAATTGTGTTCTATATACGATAATTGTTATATATATATACATAATATATATATATATATATATATATATATATATATATATATATTTAACGCCTCCCCCACGTGACAACACCAGCAGGCACCTAATGGAGAGATACAAACGAATTCTCCGAAGACCTTTGAACTACCTCAGGGAAGCAGCGAGTGTGAGAAAGGGATATACAGAATACACATAAATCAAAGAAACCTTTCTCGTGTATTCAAGCGTCAAAATCAGAATACAGTTTTGAAAAATGTGCAGTTACATATGCTTGCATCAACGGACGACTCTCTCCTAGGCTGATATTCAATCTTAAATAAACACACTCTTTGAACAAAACTCTTTCATCAAATTTACTCAACGCACAGTTATTACTCTGTTATTGGCATTAATTTTACTTTCAATTACCTAAAATCTAAGTTAATAACACACAAAAGAATATCTTCACACACAAACACTTATGTGAATTTCAAATGAAAATAATGTCATAAAGACGAATGGATTAAATAATCATTTCAAATAAATAAAATAAACAAAACGTTTTGCAAATTTAATGATGTAATAATATTATAAAGTTTGAAGGCATTTCAAGAATCAGTTGTAGAACACAGTTCATTCTGTCCTCTTTCATTCTCACTGAAAATAATTAATATGTCACAAATTTCTTAAAATGATCTTAATGCTATTCATAACGCTTCTGCGTTATTCATCTGTTCGTGACTGCGTCTTGGAGACGACCGCGGTCGCTGACCTCCAAGCTCGCGGCGTTAACAAAATTACGATTTTGTTATCTCGGCTGCAGCTGATCTCCGCAGTCCGCGGTACGCCGCATTCGGCCTTGGCCGACCTCCCGCCGTCGCTCCGCAGCCTGGCCTAAATACACGGCAATGCGCTCGGGCCGCGCTGCTTCCCCTCCACTGCCCTCCACGTCGCTTCCGCCGAGCGCGGCGACCTCCAACCGCTCCCAACGCCTGCTCTCGTCTTCCGTTTTCTTCTCTTTTCCCCCGCCAGTGGAATGCACGGCCACTCTTGTCTTCTGTCTTCTCGTCGCACTCGTCCTTGCACCTTACTAATAATTTATAGCTCTCGCGTCTGTCCACAATGACTTGTCGATTCACAGCCGTTCGCACAAGCTCAGTTCTTTCTCGTCGCAGCTTCAATTATGCAAATTATTTCATTTAATATGCATGCAACTGAATATGCCACAGTTCCAATTCACAACGCTTACTCCACTCTGCTAACAGTTTCTACGCGATCGTAGTTCTATTACACAAAATGGCTGCTTTTATCCACAATTTCTACGCAAACAACTAATTTAAAATTCTCGTACTAACCACGGCGCCTCTTTACAGCAAACTAATCACTCGGCGGCTTGTAGAAGTAGTTTCTGCTCCGTTCTTCCCAATATTTATGTGGCGACATTCAAGTTAGAAGAAACGTGACGTCATGCCCAAGTTAGGAGAAATATTACACTAAAATCACTGCGGCATGCGTACTGCAAATTCTTCTCTCACACGTTCTTAAACATGCGTGGGCGGTTGGGATAGTTGGTGGATATTGCCGAACTTCACTATACTATACTACACTATAATATATATATATATAATATATATAATATATATATATATATTATATATATATGTATATATAATTTTATACATGTATGTGTGTGTGTGTGTGTAAAGTTTTTTTTCGCTACTGTACTGCAATGCTACACAGTTCAACCGGAGGTGTTTTTCACACCAAGGGAAATTAATTTCTTGGCATAAATTGCATGAAAAAAAATGCAGATATGTGCAGATAAATGTGTGTTATTCTGACCAAGAACATTATATTCAGGAATAACAGAAGATTGATGTAGGAGAAAAAATATAATATATAATATTCATGATTAACGTTGTTACCATTGTTAGGTTAGAATTCAGTCTTATCAAAAATAACATATTAGATACTTGTTCTAAACAAATATATATTTAAATTAACGTGAAAAGGATCTTCTATTCGGTAAAACAATTTCACAAATAGAATAAACCTTATTTTTTAATTTCACTAATATCGTTGACATGAATTAATTTATTCGAGTGATTCGAGCAATGGTAACTTTAAGAGGTTGAGGAAGACAAAAATGACAGCAACACATTTCTGAGGCTGCTGTATTGTGCTCCAATGGCTTCTGAACACGATTTGATAATTACCAATATGCATTTTAAATGTCATTATGGCCAGATTTTGGGTCAGTACGTACCATTGTGAAGCGCAGAAAAAAACACTTGTTATTTTGTAGTCTCACTAGTATTTTTTCACTAGATATTATACAGTGAGATCTGCGATACTGACACGTGAAATAATTCTACAAAACAAATAAAATACCGTATCAAAAGTATGTGAATTTGATGTACATTGAACACAGTTAACTTGCAAATTTTTAATTATCGGGGACGCTTGAAACGCTGTACGCGCTGTATTTTAACATTTAAAAAAATACATTTATGTTCACAGACTTAAAATACTCACCAAATACTCCCAAGAAGGAGAATCTACAGGGTAATTTGGTTCCCGTTGCTAATACGGCGGGACCGTATTACATATATAATGTACAGACTGAATTTGCCAAAATTGGATACTCTTCATCGTTTAGTTTTGTAAATAATTAACGTAAAACATTTAGAGTACGCGTTGGGCTCATGTAGCATGGGCTACGTCAAGTGAGCGACCGGTTTCACCTCACGTTAGGGGTGGCCATTTCTCTGGAAAACAACTACTAATACTATCCGAGAAGCCGCGGAAGCGAGCACCAGGCAAATAGCGGGCGAGGTCAACAGATAACAGTCCCTCGTCTGGCGAACGACTTTCGCGAAGAGACTACAACTATTCCATTTCAAGCGGATGTACAATTGCATTTTTCGCAGTAGAGACTTATAAAGCTGTTTTCAACTCCTTAGACATTTCCTGCGCAAATGCAAGGAACACCAGGATTTCCGTTCTTTGGTCAGATAAAGCGAATTTCACAAGAACTAGCACAATTAATGCACAATTTGCATGGACAGAAGAAAATCCACGTGTTGCACCTAGTGTAGCTCAACAAGAGCGACTCTCTAAATTTGTCAGTTGGCATTCTAAAGGAATTTATCCTTACTTCTTACCCGAGCGTTTAAGAGGCGTTCAGTATACGAATTTTGTAACTCAGGTACCCCCTTCGCTTTTGGGGCTGGGGTTGATAAAAAACACCACGTATATGCTACTGAAGTCGAGGATCCTAATGACAAAGGCCCGAAGTTTATGAAATATTTTTATTATGAGCTTTATTACATGCTAATTATCATATGTCGCTAATTATCAATCGAATTCGTTGTCTCGTCATGGTAACCGATCATGCCGACCAATGAGCTATGCCGCCAGGCGGACTCGTTTCTTATTTTACAATAATTGTTGAAAGGTATATTTGACTAAAAAAGTATATTTGACTTGCATGTAGTGATCAAAGTTTTATTAATGGTTGTGACATTTTCTCTCAAGTATATAGTTTTTTTACAAATTATTTTCTATTTTCTCCACTGTGAATCTGACAAGAAGAAAACAGACTTACAGGCTCAAGAATGGGGATTCCAAATCTTCTGAAATCGATACATTAAATATTTCAAAACCTGTCAAGACAAACTTTATGGCAAATTATTTTGGCCACTGCAAATTTCCATGATTTAAGGAGACAAAGTTAAGTGTCCATTCTGAGGAATACTCGACATGCAGTCCTTTGTCCACAAGACCGTTTTGACACAAAGTCAACAATCATTTTTGTTTGCAACAGATTTTGCAACATACTCCCCAATATACAACAGAGATGTCATCTCTCTCACTACACTTACCCAACTAGCCAACGGAACAGAATTCTCAAATTCAATTTATTCAATTCTCCACTGTATTCATTATTATTTACACCACTATCAATCTTAAGCACAAAATCTTTCAAAGTAAATCTATCTTCACTGGCCGAAACTAACATTATTGGACTAACCACTGTAAGTTACCTTCTGTAAGTTAAAATCTGAGTGTCAATAATTTACACCACTCATTTGACGGAATTGACCGAACATTACTTTCTTATCACCGGATTGATATTTCCCTATAAGAAGACGACTTCTTCACTGTAGGCCAGGGTCACCACAAAGGCGGATCGACCTTGAGAGGTGGCTCAGGGCATCAACTGATTTACTGCACATGACCGGAAGGAAGAGTGAATGTGTAGTACACTTACGGGACTAATGACTAGCCGTTGACGGATTGGAAGCAAAGAGCTGGCGGCAGAGGCGGGAGCAGAGCAGCGACTGCTCAAGGTCTAGAAGGGTCGAATTGATTGATTGATTGATCGTTGGTGATTCTTCGCGCGTCAACTATTAGGATCATTAACCCCGCATTACACTGTTTTAAACACCTTCTTGCTTCCCACTGTTGAACAGCAATTCGGGGATGGCGATAGCATCTTTCAACACGATCGAGCACCTATTGATACTGCACTGCCTGTGGCGGAATGCTTACACGACAATATCAACCCTGTAATGAACTGCCCTACACAGAGACCTGACTTGAATCCTATCGGACACCTTTGGGATGTTTTGGAAGGCCGACTTTGTGCCAGGCCTCACCGACTTACATCGATACATCTCGTCAGTGCAGCACTCCGCGAAGAATGGGCTGCCATTCCCCAAGAAACCTTCCAGCAAAGCATTGAAAGTATGCTTGCTCTCGCAAAAGCTCGTGGAAGCTGTCATCAAGGCTAAGGGTGGGCCAACGCCCTATTAAACTCAAGCATTACCGATGGAAAGCGCCACAAACTGGTAAGTAATTTTCAGCCACGTGTCCGGATACCTTTTATCACAAAGTGAAGGCGATGTGTAATGCAAAGTCTGTCATTCTATCATTTAGTCCGCACATATACCTTTCAAACGATACCTTAGTCTTAAACGGATGCAGTACTTCAAGGGATATGTTCAATAGAAATAAGATGAGCAATTGTTGGGAATTGGTTAAAGATTATTTGTTACGCGAGTTGCTTAAAAGAACGTGCTGACATCGGGCGTTATCTGTGCCGTTTTCATCAGCCTCAGACTGCGAATTTACAAATGAACTCAATGGGTCCGTGCCTATGTCGCCAAACATTAGGTGCTTAAGTATCCTGGACGCACTAACATAGCATTATGCGAGAAAGAATTTTTCAGAAGTATACGTATTTTTAAATTAGAAAGTAATTACGTATATTTAAATAAAGTTAAACAACTACTTACTTGCTAGGTGCTTTATAACACAATAAGAGGATGTTCCATACGGTTGTGATACTTGGAGCTCCAACGCCGAGGGCCATGTGTAGGGTGGAGGCTCTACCACTCTCTTCACGCCGCCCGCCATGCTATTCCCTCCCCGCGACTCACGTCCCCACCCCGGCCTTTGATTTCATTTAATTTGAATTACTTTACGTCAAAACTGCAAAACCTGTATGTGACGTATGGAGGGGACGTATATTTCATGAGCTGTTGAATCCGTACCTCAACTTTTTACTACATGTAGTTGGACGGCGAACGACGTTTCCCAGTCCGTGAGCCGGGTCCGCGTCCATCCTACGACGGCGCAGGGCGCTGAGCGAAGGATGCAGGGGACCGGTCGCTGGCGAGGCGCGAGCCACGTGGTCGAACGCACACTTTACAGCGCCGTAAATTGTGTTTATAGGCGCGCGCTACTTAGAGTGGGCGCGCTCACATAACGCCCCCTAACGGGAATTCCTTCGCTACGGCGCTCGTAATTGGAGTAGTGATGATTGTTCGGACGCGGGCGATGCAAAAGCGGCGTTGGGCGCCGGCCGACGAGGGGGTGGAAAGCGAATGGCGGCGACGGGAGAGGCGGATCCCAAAAGGACCGACACGAATGAAAAGACAGGGTGGAGGTTAGTGGAATTGATGAGAGGAGCGGGAGGGTAGACGGGAAAGGATGTGAACGGAAGTGGCGGGCTCAAGATTTGACGAAAGGCAAGCACTGGCGGTTCCCGTTGGTCCGAGAGAGACAGCGATGGGATCCCACCTACATCTGGCTGAGAGGAGACGTGATAGCGGACAGCCAGGCGAAAACCTCCGTCAAGCTGGAACGCCCACTTGTGCGAAATTCATAATAAACTAGCCTATAATGTTGTACTAATTATGTACTAAATTTGTACCACAATAAAAAAATTTGTTCTCAACTATAAACAATAAAAAAACACATCCAAAATGGGAGAGCTAGCTTGACGTCAAGCTAGCACCCCCACTTCTCATAAGTTCAAAATCAACTAGCCTAACATTATCTACTAATTATGTACCAAAATAAACAAAATGTACTCAACTATGAACAATTAAGAACCGGGTGATAATGAAGCACTTTTCACGTATATTTTTCGATTTTTTAAAACACATTTTGAGTCAAATTTTAAAGTTGAATTTAATAATGCAGTTTAACAACACAGTAAATTGTTACATGTAATAATTTCAAAGTTTCATCTGGTCCCTCAACAGAGATTATAGTCTAAAAACACGAAAAATTGCTAGCGGTTGAAAATAAAAGTGTCTGCCATCGCACCCCGCTTTCCAGAAATTCAAAATCAGCTCACCTATATTCTTCTGCTAGATATGTACTAACTATTTAGCAAGATAAATAATTTTGTACTCAACTATAAACAGTTAAAAATGGCTGCCAATAAAACACTTTCCGATATTTTTAAAACATATTTAAAGTCAAATATCAAAGTTGAAATTAATAATGCAGTCTTAGGACCATAGTGAACCTTTACATGTAATAATTTCAAAATTTTATCTGTTCCCTCATCAGGGTTATTAATCTCTACATATCCGAAATTTTGGGAGCGGCTATAAACCAAAGTGTCCGCCACTGCATCCCCCTTCTCAGAAATTCCAATTTAAGTAGACTATAATATTCTACTACATATGTACTAATTTTGTAACAAAATAAATAATTTTGTACTCTACTAAAAACAATTAAAAGACCGGTGCCATTGAGGCTCATTTCACGTAATTTCACGATTTTTTTAAAACACATTGTGAGTCAAATTTCAAAGTTAAAATTAATAAGGCAGTTTAACACGAAAGTGAACTTTTGCACGTACTTATTTTAAAATTTTATCTGATCCCTGATCAGTGTTATTACACTCTACAAATCCGAAATATTGGGAGTGGCTCTAAACAAAAGTGTCCGCCACCGCATCCCCCTTCTCCATTTAACTAGCCTATAATATTCTACTAAAAAGTAGTAATTTTGTAACACAAATAATTTTGCACTCTACAATTAAAAAACCAGTGCCAATGAAGCACTTTTCACATATTTTCCGATTTTTTAAAACACACGAGTCAAATTTTAAATTTGAATTTAATAATGCAGTTTAACAACACAGTAAACTTTTACATATACAATTTCTAAATTTTATCTGGTCCCTCAACAGAAATGTTGCAGTCTAGAAACACGAAAAATTGCGAGCGATTAAAAACAAAAGTGTCTGCCTTCGTAACCCCCTCCCCAGAAATTCAAAATCAGCTCGTCTATATTTTTCTGCTAGATATGTACTAATTATCTAACACAATAAAGTTGTACTCAACAATAAACAATTAGAAAACTGATGCCAATGAAGCGCTTTCCGCATAAATTTACCAATTATTAATATCAATTTTGAACAAAATTTTGAAGTTGAAATTTATAAGAAGGTAGCGAAATCATTCCTACTCGCAGAATAAATTCAATTTATCACGCCTGGCGGAATTATTCTTTATCGCAGAATAAAATAACTTACCATGCGTGTCGCAATAATTTCTACTCGCAGAAGAAAATCAGTTTTACCACGAGTGGCGCAATCTCTTCTACTCGCAGAAAAAAATCACGAGTGGCGCAATTACTTCTTCCACGCGTGTCACACACTATTTTTAAACAGCCTTACTGACTCGCTTTATGCTTATTCTAGTATACAAATCATTTAATGACACGTTGAGGTCAGCAGTAGGTGTTGCGGTCACACGGTAGTACTATTATGTTTTATTTGGATTCACATATTTATCAGAATACTTGAGCGTCATCTCACTTTTAGCCCTAGTGCTAAAAATTGAACTACTAGTACCCTATGCATACGAAACACTATTACTAGTGGTGATCTAAAAATAATATTCGTCACTAAAACTTAACGGGAATGATAACTTCCGACCATTACAAACGAGTAGTGGTAAATAAAAAACTATCTACAGAAATTGTCGCCTTTTTTGGGCTAAATACTTGCCACAAACAAAATTTTGTTGCTCTCCAATAAATACAGAAATACGATTTTCTGCCAACTTATTAGCCCAATAATTTCAGGAAAACGAAGATATCACGAACATAATTGAAAAACCATATAGGTGTGATATCTTTGGCATTTTTCATAAAATAATTAAAGACGTTGCCATTGCCAACAATATTATTTAATGCAATAGCAGCTTTCGATGGCTTAGCCATCATCATCAGTTGTCTGCTGGATGGAAGCCACAAAAACGACTACCGTACGGTACGTACGGTACTGTACCGTACCGTACGGTAGTCGTTTTTGTACCTACCATACCGTACGGTAGTCGTTTTTGTGGCTTCCATCCAGCAGACAACTAATGATGGCTAAGCCATCGAAAGCTGCTATTGTATTAAATAATATTGTTGGCAATGACAACGTCTTTAATTATTTTATAATTGAAACGTTTACGTGGGAAGTTGTCACTATTATTGTTGATAATTAATTGTGCAAAAACAACTTTCATGGTTTAAAACGTACTGAACATGCCAAATTTGGGAAAAATTGAGAAAATCATTTATAATGATTCTATTTGCTGATGTATATTTTTTCAAGGAAATTGGGAAATAATGATAGTATTTTTTAGGTCGGTAATCACAAGGGTCTGGGGTGTTTGGTCATGTTAGAAGTAGTCGTAGTACAATATCAAGTTTCTACATTTGGGGGAAATATTTGG